CCCCAAAACCCCAAAACCCCAAAACCCCAAAACCCCGAGTTGTGGTCAGATAGTTGACTCTAGTTATATTAAGTTATTGTTTTTTGGGAAAGAGAAGCGGTGGGATTATAGTGACCTGAAGTTTCTGATCCTTAAAATTTCTCTTTGAGTAGGCTTAGGACTGTAAATTCTGGTCAAATTCTTTCTTTTTCTTTCTTTTAATCGGGTTGAAAGAGTTCTACGATGATGTTTTGAGAGCTTTTTAGTAACTTTAGGCCTGACAATCTTTCTGCGTAACCTCTCTCCAGGAAATTTTAGAATAGGTCAAGCACTAGGAACAGAAAAGCTAATTTCCTTAGGAGCTTCAAAGTCGCTATTAACTGTCAGAGGCTTCTCTGAAGACTTTTTCATAGTCACGGAATCCCTATAATCAAGAATTTTTGTAAAAGATTTTTACTCCTCAGAAAGCTAAGTTTTTAAAATCTGACTAAAAATGGAGTTTTAATAAACCCCACTTACATATGTGTTGTAGCCATTGTTGATGGAGGTCTGAGCATGTCTACATTAAGGAAGTTGGTATCAAAATTCTGCTTCTTGCCTTCAATCTCGTAGCATGGATATGACACCTGTAAAGCAAGATTATTCATTGATAAAAAGCGTTGGTAACATCCATACCTCATTCGCTGAGCTGTGCTATAAAAATGGTTAGAGATCTCATCTTCTAAGTTACTAATAATGCCTGGATAAAATCTAATTGACAGTTTAGAAATATATAATAGCTTACCAAGAACGGAGAGTTCTCAAGAGCCTGTATGTTTAGGCTGATCTTTCTTTTTGAAACGTAAGAGTCCTCGTCAAGACTGTTCTGTTTTATTTTCAGGGGATTGTCTACTTCGAAAACTTGTATCTTTGGGAGTTTGTCATCACTCATATCAGTCTCTGAGCCAATAGATATGCTCTCCTCACTAAGCTTATCAGTAGTAAAGAGCTTCAAAAGGCTATTATCACTTTGCTTCTGTGAATGCTTGTGCTTAAGCTAGTAGGAATCACTTAATACCACCCAGGAACCGACTAGATCCAGCAAAAAACATGATAGATTTATAAAAATGATACCAAGTCTGCGGATTATTGCTTCTTACCTTCATTCTGTTCTGATAATTGCGATTTTTTCTCAAGCTAGCCAGCCTGACCATCTTCGGGTTATCAATATTATTAACCTTTAGCTTAATCTCATGTAAGGAATTCCTAAGGCCAAAGCTAGGGTTTTTGCCAATATCCGAAGTATCTGCTCCAATCTTACTAAAAGTCCGGTTGAATGTCTTCAGTGCTAAAGTTTATTTCAAAATCGTACGCGATCCTTGTTTTGAAGCATTAATTTCTTCAATTTTCTGCAAAACTGTTGAAAAGATTCCATATTTAACCAATTTTGTAATATTTTCAGAGTATTTCAACAAGGATGGCTCGAACCCAAAATGAACTTTTTGGACACATCCTATGTGGTTCCTTTCAATAAGGTTCCTTTCTATCGAAAATTATGACCTGGACGTACTCTTGGCTAGGCTGATGAATCTCGGCTTGAATTTCCGCCTAAATATTTAAGTTCTGAAGAGTTTGAGTGTTAAAAACGGATAATTTTTAATTTGACATACTCTCTTCGTCTTTTTAGATATCCTGTCTATAAAATTTTGGTTAAGGTGGTAAATTTAGATAAGATTTCCTGTAAATGGACTTAAATTACCTTCTTAGGAGAGGGATCAAGCTCCACCATTTGCTTCACTCGTCGAAAGGGTGTAGAATCAGCATTAAATATCAGCTCCTTTATTTCCTTCCACTGGGAACGACCGGCTGGTGAGGAGTCTTGGTTATCCGAAAAGCCTTCTCTCTCATCTTCACAAGGACTCGATGGGTGATCGTCCGTAGGATCATCAAATTTCATTGACTTTTGATAAGGAATAGTCTTATTATCCAGATAATAATTGTTCAATTAAAAAATTCTTAACTGGGGTTTTGGGGTTTTGGGGTTTTGGGG